TTAACTGGTAGTTGTGCTGCTTGCAAAAGGTCCCTACACACCGCTTTCCACAGCTTTCTTTCCGTCCCCGCATCAGCCACGCGCAGTTGTTTGTTGCTCGGCGCATCGCAAAGGTTCTGGCGGTATAATGGCGGGCTCGTTTGTTTCTAATATATGTCCCTTCCCTTCCCCGTTGTTGTAAGTAGTTGTAAGTAGTATATAGGGGATTAACCAAATACTGTTTTAAAGAGGGACTCAGCATTTCCCCGTTTTGAAACCCCCTGGTTTAACCGAAGCGAGCTTGCGAGCTTCGGAATTAAAGCTGGGGGTTTCAAAACGGGGAAATACTCCTCCCTCTGCGAAACGGTATTTGGTTAATCCCCTATATATTACTCAGAAACTCACTCTCAAACCACGTGTTTGGGATCAGGCGGTTTATTTTAATCCTACACATACAAGTAACACGGAAAATGATCCTGCTAATTACAATCTTCGAATAAACTACAATAAAACTAGAGGCCCAAACCCAAGTGAAAATATGTGATGTTATAGGTGAGGTGAAAAGTGAAGGGCGTGTTAGGTAAGAAGTAGGATAGCCTTGCATAGCATGTTAGCAGAGTGTAGACGCACGGTTAATGGCATAGTTAAATAAATTAAAATGGTATCTGAACGCCAGTCGCCAAGAGCCTTAATCAGTTCTATGGGAACGCCCGATTGATAGGCAAAGGAGGCTCCCCCCCCCCCCTGCGAAACGAATGACCGGCGTAAAGCCTGGGGTTTACCCCTAGAGTGGAAAGGTGCGAACGCAATTTAGAGACAAACGCACTATAGGTAAGCACATGGAGTACACGGGAATCATCTACCCAATTAAATGCTTGTAAACCCCTGGTAGATACTGGCGCAGTGAAGCGGAGGGCATTGGTAATGGCTGTGGTTGGACAGAGAGCGGACCCAGGGATAGACGGGAGTGGGATTTCTACCACTCGTTCACGAAACTGAATAGTCTGCCTTAGGAAAGCAGTTGGCAAAAAAAAAAATATAATTTGTCGAATTCTACATTTTATAACCTTTCTATTGATATATAGTTTGTGGGGGGTTCCTTCAAAACAGCGCGCGTACGAATTTTTTTCTGGAGGACACCCACGAAGGTTTACAAGGGTTTACAGCGGTATTTAAAGGTACATTATAACTACCCTATATGAAGTACCTACAAAGGCGAGGCTGCTGACCAGCGGATGTGCGTTGACTGTCGTGGACTGTCCGCCAAGTGATTTGTTCAAGCAGGATACGAAAAATGTCAAAGAACTTATTTGCTAAGGCAGTGCAAGATGCCGCATCGGGATCCGAAGGTGGACCAAGTAGTTTTAGAGGTACATGTCATGAAGTTTTTATTTTTCGGAGGATATAGTGGGGATGTAATTTCAAACTAATCCCTGACCCTACCTAGCTGCATGTGGCTTTTGGCCATCTTGTTTTGATCATTTCAACTCTAATACCTCTCATTAAAACTGTCTGTGGGTTGTTGAACGCTCGTTGGGAGGTTTAAAGACTTGTGCTGTGTTAACACTTTAGTATTTACCGTGGTAAGCAATTTCTGAGGTCAAGGTACTAAACATGTTCTCCATGTTTTCACGAGAGATGTTAACCTAGGTTTGTTTTAACTTTACTGAAGTGAAATTTTTAATCGTGTGAACGCAGTAGTAAACCTCGGTAAACGTGTTTGTCTCACAATGAAAACCACGGACTTAAAACACTTTATGCTTTGCTTCATTTAAAATGACCGTGGAGACAACCATCACCTTCGGACCAGAGACATATCACCTGAGAACAATGGTAGCTTTGTAACTAAGTGTTACTCGTGTTATTTCTAATTTTTTCGCTCTTCGATTGTGACTTTTCTCGCATGCAAAGTAACGTATAAAATCGAGTTCTTGTGTAAGTTATATCTAAAATAAGTTAGGTTTGAGCCCTGATCTACTTGCAGTGGCATGTTTCACTTTCTGCAGTTTCCAGATCATGTTTTTCAGCATACACTTGAGAAAACGGAGAACATTTGGAAAATTCTTCTTACAAGCAACAATCTGCCAGGAATAAGATAGCATTGTACAATGCAGCTCAGCTATAAGCGCACTACGCCTACCCATAAGTGTATCCATAAGCATTGCTGGTCAAATCAAAGACATTTCTGGGAATGAAAAAGGTCCAGGCCTTGACTCAAAATTTGCACACAGTATTGTGAAAATGTCAATGAAAGCTATCATATTTCAAGTTTTCAATTACTTCGCAAATTAACCAACAAGCTACTGTTCATTAACACTTGCTTGATCTTTAAATACCAAAAAATTGGGAAGAAAATTGAAGCAGTCACTTGAACTCCTTATTTTAACACATTTTAACACACCAAATAATGTTTACATGTACTTTGCAGTTTACAGCTGCGAACAATTTGTCAGGGATATTTTGTAAATGTTGATTAGTCCTCACAATTTTTAACAAAATAACTGTCTTTAACTTACCATTCATTCCCATTCAATTTTGAGAATAGGAATAAAACTCTCACTGAAACTCCATTCACAGTTAGTTAGTTCATGAAAATTTTGTGTTTGTGTTTTGGTATGCGACGGCAAGAAGCTAACAAGTCGCAACTGTTGATTGACTTCATTAATTTCTACTCTGTCATTAAACAATGATATCTCTGGTTTTATTTGACACAAATTGTTCCTTCAAATGGTAAAATACTCTTCCTTGATGAAAGAATTGTTTATCACAGTTTCTATAGCATGTCGTTCACGTTGAGTGAATTTTTTTCGGAGGACAAGATCTGTGCTTTGGCATGCATTGTCAAGTCACTTGTGAAATGTTCATTGCCTGAAGTGGTCAGAAGATCCTTGTTGAAAAAGTGATATCTCCAGTTTTATTTGACACAAATCGTTCATTCAAAACATAAAATAAACAATTAGATTATGAGTTCAAGATTTCTGTCGTGTGATAGTTGACAAGGGTGCATCTCTTCACAGACACTTTGAAAACGCAAAGAAGCCGCTGCCAGTTTGTTAACAAGTGCTCGCTGCTATGGTACTCACTACCTACAACAGAATAGACAGTGAGTACCGTAGCCATTCAGAGAATACTGTCCGTGATAGAACGCTAGTAGATTTATGCTAGTAATTCTTTCTTTAACTAAAGGATTATTTTTCAAAGTTTCTATGGCTTGCTGCTCACATTTAGTTATTTTTGTGAGACATAGTCACTGGCTGTTTTGAAGCTTTGAGGATCTTATGAAACCTGAGAATCCCTCCCTGATGAGAGTTAATAGTTAATGAAGATAGTGAAAACTCAAGACGAAATAATATTGTCGCATTTACAAAGTGCCGGACAAGATGATATTTGAATTGTAAACCGCCTTTACTTCTAGTCAAAACCCTTCTAAATGGCTCAAACAGACAAATTGTACTGTAAATGATCCCAGACTGGAAATGGTCACCTTGCCAAATAAGATGGAAGAGTGAGGACTCAGGAATTTGGACAGTGAATTTAAAATTTATGCAAATGGTCTTTTTATAACTGTATAACTCAGAAAGCTGTGAACATTTGGTTAATTGGATACTGAACCACTCACAACAAAGTTCAGGACATGCGAGAAAACCTCAAAACTACAACCATTTATTGCAGGTGTTTACAGTTTAGTTTTCTCACACTTAATTGACTTTTTCCTTGCTACACAATAATATCCCTTAAATATTTCTGTTATTCACAGTTTTCTGAGTTTCACAGTATTAATATATATCTAATATATCTAAAGAACACTGTGGTAACTCACACTCAGTTAATCTTGTGGACTTTTGTGGGAGCCCGTGGCTATCTAGGACGCAAGTATAAGAAGTGTACAGGGAAAAGTTCAATGCAATTATAATTAGATGGCAGAGGCATCTTTGAAGATTCATGTTTCTTTTTGCTGTGCGTGCCCTAAACGAAAAATGTGTACTGTTGACACATCAATTTGGTGTTTTGCACAGTATGTTAAATGTTTTTTATTGCTGCTTTTATGCCAGAGGTGCCTGTCTTTTCTTCACCGAGGATAATTGAGAAAATATGTATCCATCCATAGACTTTTCATGGAGTCCATGCCATTCCTACCTTTTTGGGATGGAATCATTTCCAGTCCTGGGATTATTTGTGGTCCAATTTGGAGATCATTTGCGGTACAGGGATCATTTGCGGGCTTTAGCAATGTTGGGAGGGAATTGTTACACAAGCCATATATCCCCACTAGTCTACTCCTGCTAGTTGTTCAGCATTACTGTATTTTCCCATGTATAAGTCAACCTTTCAAGACCTAAAAATCAGTCCGAAAATTCCCCCTCGACTCATACATGGGTCAATACTTAAGATCCAAGCACCAGTTAAATAATTAGCATAAAAATTGTCTTTCATCAAAGATTAGAGATTAAAGATTCGTGTTCCAATTCTTGGGACACTTCTGCCACGTGTGTTTGTTATTTTAGCAAAGGACACGTGCATTAAGTCACGTTTTCGATTTGTTGTGTAATCAAAAATTCACTTCCTTTCTTGCTGTCAGACAAAACATGTACAGATTTACTGAAGTTCTCTTTCTGGTGGTTAATATTTTGATTTTTAAGATTGTTTACATTCAATTTTATTGATGTAAACAATGATTTTACGATTCAAAAGCGAGTTCAAAGGACAAGCACACTCATGCAAATTCACTGCGTTACGGACTAAAAATAATCCTGAAACTATTGACACTTTACTCATCAATTACTCAAGCACTTTCACCAACATCTTGATTTGAGAATAAAAAACAACGTTTCCATTCAGTTTCTTCATTTTTGATGATAGTACTGGGTCTTGTGAAGCAAGTTTCCACTTAAAAGCTGTTGTTCATATTTACGCAAAGTCAACACATTGCAATGAAATAAGTAAAGCGACTGCTGAACTCGAGTTTTGGTGAACATCTTTGACGTTTGTTTTTCATCACTTTCATTTAAGTTTTTTGCTTGTAAGTTAAAGTTGGCTCCCTTGAAGCAGTGTGTAAAACAAGAGCCCGCAAATCCAGATGCTCTCGTGGGGTAAACTTAGCCGCATCACGAGAAATTAATCGTTTTCTCGTAAGCTGACTGCTTGTAATTTATTCCCAAATATACGCTTCAATGGTTCTCGCGAGAAGAGACTCTCATTTCTCGAGACGAAACTCTCATCTTGCGAGGCGAGACTCTCATCTTGCAAGACGAGAGTCTGGTCTTGTGACAAACAGGACGAGAGGTGGTAACTTACTTTTGAGTGGTACTGTACTCTCTCTTTCAATAAATACTCAGTCAGTTAATTTTCTGCCAAGTACCAAATTGCAAAACGTGTTTTTCAGCTAATTCTAGTCTGGAAGCATATGCGCACATACTGTATACGCATTTTCCAAATAAAGAAAACTCTTTCTCGCTCTGTGGCTAGTTGTCAAGCCATTGAAAACAACAGTGACCTGTTAAGGACGGTGCCTACAAAACACAAACGTTTTTGCACCAGGTTAGGACCACGTGGAAAAAGTAGATCTTTGCAGTGGCTATTGGAATCCACAAACTCAAACGAAGAGAAGTTTACGTGGCGAAATAAGTCTTTTAAAATACAATGTTGTCTTGATTATTTTCTAATTTCCAGACAGCTAATGAACCTGACCAACAAATGCACAATCACTTTTGCTCCTGAAACAGACCACTCTGCTATTTTTATTCACTTCAAAAGTGAAGAACTTAAACAAAAAAAAGGTCCAGGTTTTTGGAAATTTAATCAGTCACCGATGATGAAAATTACGTGTCATTGATTAAAATGGAGATTAGAGGTTTTACCGTGAAATATTCCAAAAACAAATCTAGAGAAAGAAAATCCACTGAAACTATTCTCCAGAACCACATTAATGCTCTGTTTAAAAGAGCTGAAGCAGAACCAAATAACAAATATATAATTTGTGAAATTCAAAACATCAGACTATGCCTAAAGAGGATTATGCAATACAAGGCAAAAGATGCAATTCTAAGAGGTAAGGTGAGGTGGTACGAAGACGGTGAATGCAACAACCGTTACTTCTATAACCTTGAGAAACGAAATTATGAAAAAAAGATAATTGCAAAATTAAAACGCTCAAACGGCACCGTCACAAGCGATCAATTCAAGATTCTGCGATTCTGGAATATTATGAAGCTCTTTAGACTTCGGCCACGCATCCTGAAAAAAAAAAATTGAAAACATTACCCCTCTAGAGAATACGGACCTGCAAATGTGTCAAGGAAAGGTCTTGGCTGAAGAATGCCTAAAAGCCCTAAATGATTTCCAAAATGAAAAGTGCGGGGAACGGATCGATTACGTGCAGAGTTTTACAAACTTTGTTGGAAAGAATTGCATCTTGACATGATAAAAAGTTTTAACTTTGCTTTTGATACAGGAACTTTGTCAATTTCTCAAAGAAGAGGGATTATTACACTCATCCCGAAACCAAATAAAGACACCACATCATTGGCGAATCTCAGACCAATCTCTCTTCTTAACATTGACTATAAAATACTGACAAAAACAATTGCGAAGAGATTGCAAAAAGTTCTTCCAAAAATTATTAACCCTGACCAAACCAGTTACGTTAAAGGCTGTTGTATCAGTAAAAACGTTCGTTTAACTTATGGACATAATGTCATATACAGACGAGAAAAATGTCCCGGACGTTGCCCTTTTTATTGATTTTTGAAAAGCTTTGGACACTACTGAATGGGTTTTCCTTATTGACACTCTTAACAAGTTTAATTTTGAACCTGACGTTATAAACTGGGTGAAAATTTTTTACAACAATGTTACAAGCTGTGTTTAAACAATGGCCATGTGTCAGAATTCTTTGCTTTAGAGAGGGGTATCAGACAAGGTTGCCCTCTGTCCGGATTGCTTTTTGTGATAGGTATCGAAGTTCAATTCAACTAGAAACAAGAATACAATAAAGGGAATTAAAGTAGGTGGGAAAGTAATCAAATCATCTTTGTATACTGACGACACCACGGTTTTTGTGCGAGACCTGGATGTTATACCAAAACTACTGGTACTTCGAAATAGCTTTAAAAATCTCTCTGGCTTAAGGTCGTTCCTCGCATTTGCATTGCGCATCCTTACTGCGCATAATTTATGGCGTCATTAGCACATGCTCGTGCATGCGCACATTGAAAACATGATGGATTTGCCTTGATGTTGAGCTCTGTCAGTTGAAAAATGGCTCTAGCTCACCAACAAGTACGGGCACCCCAATTTTTTTTCCACTCATTGTAATCAACTAATCATAAGCTTTGCGTGAGAAAAGACTGATCTAATTTCTGTGGCTGAAAATTGAATAAATAAGAAAAATAGCAGATACACGGTGGTCTTTTCTTTTTGGTAGTCGGTAACCACGTCAAGAAATTTGGCTCAAATTTTTAACCAAGGATTTAGCTTTCTGTCTGAATCAAACTTAAAACATTTATTTGTGTCCGACACAATGTATTGACTGTAGTTTAATGNAAATATTCAGTGGACAAAGTTTGAACAAAAATCTATTGTCACTTTTATTTCAGAGGAATTACCTTAAAAATTAACGCTACAAAAACAGAAGGGATGTGACTCAGTAGTTGGAAAAACAACCTTGAAACTCTCTTTGGTTTTCGCTGGCCACGAGACCCTATAAAAGCCCTTGGTGTTTTTTTCTCATACAATTCATGTAAAGCAACTGAGTTAAATTTTATAGAGTAAATCCGGAACCTAGAAAATAAATAGTTGGAAAAGATGAAACCTTATGGTTCTTGGTAAGATAAGCATTGTTAAAACGTTAGGTCTTTCAAAATTAATTACCTACTTTAATATATCTGTACTCGTTATCCCTGAACAACTAATTAAAGAAATTAACTCAAGCAAACTGTGACTTGTTATTACCCTTCCCTTGTCCCTCGTGTCAGTCAAATCGAGGGCCTATCAAGTCTCTATGCTAAACACAAATGATGCCATGGCTTTGAACTAGGTTGAAATGGGCTTTAATCTAAAGAAACCATTTTCCTTTTATCAAATTATAAGGAAGCACCAACCAAGCACATATGTGGTAAACTTTACCACTGATGTTTTAGGAGATTTGTAATTCGATGAGGCTGAACAATGTAAACGAAGTGTCATTTGAAAAGATTACAATAACTTTCGGACATGAATCAGAAGATCGGGCAAACAAGCCAAACAAAACCTGTCTGAAGTGTTGCAGCTCGTAAAGGAATACAAAATATGGCTTCTTTTATGTCCTCCTTGATACTGTTCACAATATTTGCAAATGAGTCTATCGATAATGCCAAGATGTCCGTGGAAGGCATATTTCAATGTATGTAAAAAGCAAAGTTACCACGCTGCCAGAGGAAGTCCGCAAAAATAACAAGCCCTCAAAATTATGTGGAAGAGAGAAATAATGTAAGGATAACAACAATTCACAGTTCGCTTGAAGTGGTGAGATCAGAGGGATGCAACATCATGTGTACATAAATCTTGGACCTTCAAAGGTAGTGTCGATCACTCACAAGGTAAGATACAGATATGTTTTCATTGCGGAATTTTATGAGAAAACAGAAACTCTGGATTGAGATATCATTACCTTGGCTCCAGAGGCCAGAAAATTTCATGGCAACACAACATGATTTTTGGGCCAGCTTAATTTAATAGACTAAGTTTATTTACACTGAGGTAGTGCCGATAGTGGTGTGATATGTTGGTGAACTGTAAATGGGCTAGTTGTAAGGGCTACCTTTTCATTCTTACATTTTTAGTGAATACCTTTAAATAAACACGTAAATTAGTACATGATTATGAAGAAATATGGTCTTCAACTAGCACCACTGCTTGAGGATTTGAGATTTCCTGGAGGGATAAGAGTACAATTTTGAGGGAAAGGTAAGAATTTGATCACCATTGATTAATGCAGAAGAATTGAGCTGTTTTGTGTGACTGAACAGTCGAACTTGCCATACAGTAATTTGCTCTCAAGAACATGTCCGTCGTAATTGCCACGAAAACTGTTTGGCACGTGAGTCATGGTAAAGTTTACCACGAGGACTGGACCATGTTCTCCAACTCTTTTTAAAACCGTTTTCATGCCTGAAGAAGTATAATCTGAGTTATGGTTGGATGTGAAGAACAGTTATCCTACATTTCCTGTTAGAAGAATCCGAAAGATGTACCAGCAATTCCAATTTCCACAAAAACGGCGCAATAGCTGTGATCACAAACAACTAGTTGAAGTTATGATGTCATGACTGTGACTTGTCATCAAGAGCTCCCTTGAGACCGAGATAATGAATAACATATTATTGACCTAAGAAGTTTTGCTCAATTAGGTTACCAAGCAGAAAGCACGCCATCTTTCATGTATGAAAGCATAGATTTTTCATTTTCTCAGGTCAAAATAATCTGTTGCACTAAGAAACATAGCATTTGAAGGAAAGGTGACATTATTTAGCCACTTGGGATTAAAACGGTCGGTATTTCACAAACAGCTGCTGGGTAAAGTTTATGCGCATGGGTAAACTTTACTTGGCCAGATGGCTATTAAAAAACTGCACTCTGATTGGTCAAACGTGGGTAGAGTTTACCCATGTGGGTAAAGATTTTTAGTCCGTATTGTTTTTGACCGGTACATAATACTTTTGATGAGTGTTCTATGTATATTGTGTTTGTAAAAAAGAAAAATTCGGGTAGCCATGCATTTTTTTTGAGATAATTAGCCTTGAATCTCAACAAAAATGCTGACATCAGCATTTTTCTGAAAAAGAAGGAAAGGATATTTCTTTGCAAATTTCCTTAGAATTTGCTTTTACACACAGAAAGGCAAACACATTAAAAAAGATCTTTAAACTACATATACATGGCAAATGATAACATAAAAATCATTTTTGTTTTTTATATATGTTTTTAATAACAGCACTTTTTGTGTCTCTGACAGCCTTCCTCTGGTTCAGCTGAAATACAGTCTAAATACCTTTTGCTCACAACCAGAAACCAATCACGTGTTGAATAGGCTTGCCACTTCCATTTCATAACATAAAATGTAGGGGTAACCTCGCATAAATAATGTCAGAAAAAGCACCACCTGTGTTTAAGGAAAGTACAGTATGATCTAACAATAGAATGTGCAACATGTCATCAATTTCATTGTATGGCTGTGCCTCTGCTTGGGCACTTTGTTTGACTTGACATCTAACAGACGCGCTGTTCAGGAGTGTCGTCTGTGTCATCTGAAGTCAGGGCAATAATAGAAAATATGACAAAGGATCTTAATTCAGGTACTGATCGCCACTGAAGCCAATATTATGCTCTATGAGGAAGGAGCTGATACAATGAAATAAGTTGGGAGGCTACTCAGATGTTGAGTACGTATGGAGTTTAATACAGCTCTGTTTCGTAGGCTAACATTAAGTTGGCCCGCTCATCAGAGTTAGTTTCCATATACAATGAGGCACATTAGCAATATGATCGCACAAGATGCAATAAACTGTTACAACAGACCATTACAAAACATCGTAAAAAACCATAACAATCAATCGTTGGATATTCGAATGAACAAACTTATGTACATGTTACCTTGTATTTGTGATCATTTTATGTGCCAGTATGTGCACGCTGAGAAAATGAAATGCAGTTTATCATATCTAAGAATGAACTGTCATTGGCACCTACATGCAGAAATTTGTTTGTTTTGTTTGTTTACTTTATAATGATGTATGTTCACAGTTAAATTATGTGTATTTTCCAGTTTTCCGGTTACTGTAAATTAAATTGAAACTACTCTGTCTGCTGGTTGGGATGCTTGTTCTAAAAGTGATGTGGAGCTACATGAGTTGGCAGTTTGCATTAAAATACTCCATGTACTTACAGAAAGTTTTTTGCCCTTTTCAAGATGGTCTTGCTGATAAGCCCTGCTTTGCTTTTTGTAAGATTTTTACAGTTCTTATTTTCTTCTTTTTGCTGAAAAATCAGATAAGCAAACAAGAGGACAGTCTTTCCGCGGCCATTATAGAGGCAGAGGCAGGAGTACAGGCAGAGGCCGCGGTAGCAGCCAGCAAAGGAGTTTTCCTCATCCCAGGTCTCACTTAGTTGATGATGATGAGGACATTGACATGGATGCAGGACGTCAAAGATCAGTTGCAAGATTGTAGGTGTAAAGTTAATTCCTCAGTCAAAGGAGCTATCATCAGCCCACTTAGTTAAAAGAAAGACTGATGGAATAAATGTTGTTATATTGTTGTTGTTGTTATTAGTTTGACCAGTACAACAATATTTATTCTGTGGTATGTTCATGGAAGTGATTTTGCCTTTAACACGTACATGCCTTGTTTGCTAATGTAATTTTATGATTATTGTTTTGATTACATTATTCTTTTCCATGAATTAAGTCCAATACTGATCGTAGTCTGTAACCATCAATGGTAACAAAAATAATTATGAAATGACTGGTATTGAAAATTGATGGTCACTTGCTCTTGTGCTGTTCTTTATTAACCCCAGATTTGCCAACTTTTTTTTGGGGGGGGGGGTACCCTGCAATTCGCCATGCAAATTTTATGAAACTAGATGCTTGCTGTGTGTACCTAGGCAGTCGTTATACTGAGAAGCACTAGCTATATTGCAGTTGAGCTATATGTTCTGCATTTGAGGTCGTACAAAATTCAATCGAATTGATGTACTCAAGCTATTCTGCCTTTGATTCCATTTCTCTCAAATCAATTAATAGCTTATTACTAGTTTGCAGGTCTTTAGGGAGTGAAATAAGTCAAGGTCTTTATATCAGCCTATGAATGTTTCAGTCTATTTTCTTTAGCCTTTGTCGTTGCTGCTGTTGTTTTTGCGTTTCCTAAGCAAGCAGGACATTTTGAATTTCAGATTTATGGCGGTGCATGACATTGAGCTATGAAAGCGTTTGTCAAAAAACATATATTTATCTTGTGATTTTTAGCCCATTCAGAAGTTAAAGTATTAGGAAAAGTGCTTATGTAAGTGCTTGTTTGCTCAATACAGATAATCAGTTGCCTAGATAGCCAAAGTAAGTTCCAGATGTTTATGTTATTTTCCAGCTGCAATGTTGGTTTACCACGGAGGTACACCAACATGGCGGCTCCATACTGGGCTCTGTAAATTTGTGTCAAATATTGTGATGAATATCTGAGGTTTGGGAAAATGCACAGACTTAAAAATTAGATAAGTGTCACTTTTATTAATCTCCTCTAGCATCACAATTTCTTGACTTTATCCACTAAATGGTTTTCGATTAATTTTTTTATCAGGATTGCGTGACAGTGCAAGTACCTGCAATTTCACCTGATTTTCAACATTGTGTTGGGTGGGGAGGGGGGACAGCAACGCATTTTAAAGGATATAGCAGTGTTTTTTTTTCCAACTAAAGTTCTAAAACACAGATAATTTGTTACATTACATAAGTGTCCCAAGTACTTTTTTCCATGATTGAAGGATTGCCATGCCTGGCCTCTGGTCTGGTGTTGTCATAACAATGCAATAAAGATGTTATGAGTTTAAATTGATTCCATGATAAAACTGAGTTGAAAAATGGGGTACTTATGTATGGGTTTGACTTATTCCAGTACATTCCAACCCTCTTCACTTTGATGAGGCCCATAGTTATAACAAGTCCAATGTACTTCCTCAGGACTGAGATACTTAAATTCATGCTGTCCCACCTTGACAGTTGACTTTGTGGAGACAATGCTTGGGCTCCTAAAACCTGTGCAGCGTATTTCTTTGTTTTGGTCACAATCTTGCCAAGAATCTCCAAGGTTAAGGACAACAAAAAGTATACAATTGGGGTTGAGTTTGCTGCAGGCATGTTTCTTGGCCCTGGATTTCTCACAGCAAGGATGGGAAATCAATGTCATCTTCTGGAGGATAAATACGGGCCCAGAACTGCATTAAAACTCCATCATCTTTGTCCTCACTTTCCGAGAATGAATTTTCACTCACTGAAGAATAATCGCTTGCAGAGTCATCCGACAAATCGCTTGAATTTGATGCAGAAAACTCGCTTCTATCGGGAACATATTTGTCCGAAGTGCTGTCCGCCACATTTGTTTCAAGACGTGTGCAAAAATAAAATTCTCAGAATATCTTTACCAAAGACGATTAACATTCAGAAACTCTACGAAACTAGGCTGAAAACTCAGAGCAATAAAAAAACACTGTTTATTGGTTTGTTCTGACTATTGTGTTTCTGCCTAACCAATAGAAGCACTCCTTATTAACAGGGCCGATAGAATCGGCCTCGGTGTATTTACGTGTTAATCAGCTTGCTGATCAAATCAGCCATTGGTGTATCTAGGGTTAATTATAAATCTATTAGGGTTCTATCAGAAATGCTGTTCTGTTACTAGCTATCACTCACACTCATAATCAAGTTGTTAATACATTAATTTTTAAACTTTATTTGCATTATATTTAATACAGCAATCCATATCAAGGCAGACCTTCCTCACATCGAGGTACCAGGGGGAGTAGAAATAGAGGTGATGTTAAGTCTAGATTATGGACAGCCCCTACTGGCAGAGCAGGGAATAAAGTGGACTGGTTCAAAGTTGTGGTAAGCTGATAATTCCCTTAAGTAAACCAAAATAGTCACTTAATGTATTGATTAAGATGCAAGTAGTACATTATGAGTACACTATCTCTAGGAATAGTTGACACTACAGCTGCTTCCCCTGATATTACTTTTTTGTCTACTGCAGTATCAATGCATGCAGACACCATGATAGATTGTAAAATTAACAGTAACTACATGTACTTTATACAATTGTGAGTTGATTGTCAGGCTACCCAAGAAGGGGGATGTTACTGAGTGTGACAACTGGAATGGAATAAATCTCTAGTAGGTACTGGTTAAGGTTTTTGGTGGAGTGATAATTACTACACTGCATGACATAGTGGTTGGGTTGTTAAGGGAAGAACAAGCAGGTTTCGAAGAAGAGCGGTAGTTGAAAAGATCATCATGCAGCTATGACACCGGCGATGGCGATGGATAATTGATGTTCTGTGAATGGCACCAAAGCACAACCCCCTCGTGGCATTGACTTGGCCACCAAGCAGGAGAAGAAATCAAGGATGACTGAAAGAAACATGAAGATGAACTGAAGAAAGAGAGTGTAATGAAATGCGTTTAACATTGTGGGCTGCAGTTACGTCTGTTTCCAAGAATAGGGATGCATTTAGATGGAGGCAACTTATCTCTGGCTCAATCCCCCACCAAGGAACTAAAGGAGAAGACTTAATCAATCAAAGGGCTCCTAGAGCAAGCTCATTGATGTAATCACTAATTTGCATTACACTCTTTGGTTATGAAATATTGGTACAGTTGAACCCCAATAATTGGAAACCTGAAGGGAAACAGCAGTTTGAAATAGCAGGGGTTAAGTTCAAATAGACTGTAAGACATCATTATTCATTAAGTTTCTGTCAAAGGCAAAAAGTTGCCTAAGAGTAACAAAGTATGAGGGTGTCCAAAAATCTTAATAGGATACTTGATGAAATATTAAGGATATCTAGTTAAATGACAATGCTGTTAAATAAAAATAATAATCTAATAATGTTTATAGAATTATTTGCGTACACTGATCAATAGCAGTTTTCAATAAATTCATTGAAGACTAAAAAAAATATATACACCTGTCCAGTAAAGTTATTATATTAAGCTATTACAATAGCTGAGCTGAGAAGTAACATAGGCGTGGACAATACACACACTATCCTGAGATGGATATTTCTTAATTTTTCTAATGTTATGTAAATGAAAGAATACACTCTTGGATGCCTTGATGATATGCATACACTTAGTTTTTCACCAAACCAGACTCCTACATTTAAAGCACAGGCAACAAAGTAAATAAATAAAATAAATATACATTTATATAGTGCCATTTTCCACTAATTGTCCATGGCGCTTTACAATACTTTAAAATTAAAATCCTAATTCTTTAAAAACCTAAAATCCTAAATCCTAAAAGTTAA